AGGGATTCAGGCTGGGGTTGTAACGGGCGCACTGCCCAGGATCTGATTCGACATTTCTGAGACAGACATTGTTTGGACATTCGGCAAGAGACTATTTTGGACTGCGTCATTGCGATCTTGGTCTACTCTCTCGCCTCCCCCCTATTCCGGCTGTCCCTCCCCCATCTCTCATCCGTGGTTTCCCCCCATGTGTGTGTATGAAAGAGGGACCTTCCTTCCATGATTGCGGTCCCTCCTCTCTCACCCATGTGTGATGTGTGATGGAGTCAGGTCAGTCCACGTCAGATCAGATCTTCTCTTTGAAGTCTTCCGCTGTGCCATTTGCGCCATCTTGTATGCATCGCATGTACATTGCTTGTGGATAATGCGCTGATCTAGCATTGTCCATCTCAATCCTTTTCATCACATTGTGGGTCCTTGGTATACTGCGCACTGCTCCCCAAGGCATGCGTCAGTTTGGTATCGGAGCTGCAGATGTGAATCAGGACGAACCTGATCTTACGCGTGCACAGGGACCACCCAAGATTGATTGGGTGAAGTATCGATTGATCCCGGATTGATTGATCGATTGATTGAGTATTGATTGATTGATCGATTGATTGATTGATTACGGTATACTAATTAGTCCCCAAATTGCGAAACTTGGACCCAACCGCTGAAATCAGAGTTTTTTTTGCTGTTTTGGATTCGTTTTCTCGCCATTTCCTTCTTTCAACCATAGCGGAGCATCTGAAGATTCGTCTTTCTATTCTTCAACCCCGAAACTCCGTTGTTGGAGATCCAAAATACCGCGATTTCCCATTATTTCTTCCGCGAAATTTTTTTTTCCCGATATTTTGATTTTTTTTTCTTGCTGAAATTTGAAATTTCGCGGCAGAGAAGTCCCAAATTGTTTTTTGAGAAAGTTTCCATTTTATCCCGTTATGAAAATTCGTGTTATTCCGATTTTTTTTTTTTTGAAATTCGAAAATCTTTTTTTTGAACCTTGTTTTTTTTCGGAAAATATTTTTTGAAATTCGTTTTTCAATTTCGAAATTATTTCTGAAATTCGTTTTTCACTTCTGAAATTCGTTTTTCACTTTCGAAATTATTTCTGAAATTCGTTTTTCACTTCTGAAATTCGTTTTTCACTTTCAAAATTATTTCTGAAATTCGCTTTTCACTTCTGAAATTCGTTTTTAACTTTCGAAATTATTTCTGAAATTCGTTCTTCACTTTCTGAAATTCGTCTTTCATTCCGAAATTATTTTTGGAAATCGTTTTTCATTTTCGAAATTATTTCTGAAATTGCTTTTCACGTTCTGAAATTCGATTTTCAATTTCGAAAACTATTTCCATTTCGAAAATTATTTCTGAAATTCGATTTTGAATTTCGAAAGTTATTTATGAAATTCGTTTTTCAATCCTGAAATTATTTCTGAAATTCGAAATCATATCTAGAAATTCGTTTCTCATTTTCGAAATTTTTTTGAAATTCATTTTTCAATTTCGAAATTTTTCTGAAAATTCGTTTTTCAATTTCAAAAGTTTTATGAAAATTCATTTTTCAATTTCAAAAAATTCCGAATTTTTTTTGTGACGTTCGTTTTTATTTTTCGGAATTCCTCTTGCAAACGTTCGTTTTCAAACTGCGTACACTCTCACTTCACATATTCTGATTTTTTTCGGAAATTCCTGGGCTTGTGGAATCGTATCTTTTTCGCAAGTGCAACACTTCTGTTATCTTCATTTGACGCTTTGATCCATTGGCAGCCTAAATTTTAAAATTTTCTTTTTTTCGTTCAAATTGACTGCTGAGGGGGTGCTTGGGGGGCCTACTGAGCTTGCAAATTCAAATGTTTTTCCTTTTTTTTGAAATTACTGCAAGTTCCCAATTTTTTTCTTAATTAGTGGCTCCATATCTGGGTGACCCACCTTCATTGCCCACCCCCTTTCTCTACACCCCAACCCTTCAACCCTTCTCTGTCCTTCTTACCTGCCCATTCACCTGCGGGTGCAGGCCAGGTAAGTCCTCACTTCAGCATGCCACGTCAGGGACCCGCCGCGCATGACCATACTTACTCGCTCGCAGACAGCAGCAATGGATCAGAAGGCAGGTGAGACTGACGAGGCCTATGAGGCACGGCTGGCTGCCATCCTGGCCGAAACCAAGCAACGGGCAGATGCAGCGGCAGCAGCACGGAAGAAGAAAGAGGCACAGGCAGAGAAACTACGTCTTCTCGCTGAAGAACAACGGCAGAAGCACGAGGCAGCAGCAGCCAGGGCCGCTGATGAGGAACGCGTACGGCGACGAGAGATCATATTCAGGGAGGAAAGTGCATTAGACACACAAGCCAAGGATTGGCAGAAGGAGGCCGAGAAGGACGATTCCGTTGACGTCGGCAGCAGAGTATCTCAGCTGCTCAACCATGTCACGGACCTCCTTGCGACTTGCATCACACAGCAAGAGGACATCTACTCCCTCGACCACGCTAACAAGACGTTGCAAAAGTCGTCAGACCAGGTGCTCAAGCGCATTCAGCAGCTGGAGCAGCAAGTCGCTAACACCAATGCCAATGTCGGCCCCTCCGACCTCGTCGACCGCGTCAACGTCTTGGAGATCGACGTGGGGACACTCAAGGTCGGGGCGCAACAGCACGTCTGTGTCGCAGCCAGCTCCAGCACGGCGCCACGCGAGACCATTGTCAAGTTTGACGGGCTCCCGATCTTCTGTGACGCATCGAAGACGGACCCCATACAATGGTGGCGCCAGTTCGAACTCAAGCTGGACCTCCACCACATCGCCAACGAGAATCGGCATGCATATTTGTACTCCCGCTCGGGAGGCGCATGTCAGGCATGGTTGGACAACATGCTGTCCGCCCATGCATGTACAGTCACCGAGTTGCACAAGTACATCACCTGGGCGGATCTCACGGCGGCATGGAAGAAGCGCTTCCAAGTAGAACCGCCCGAGCACAAGGCGATGGACAAGCTGCTGACATTTTTGCAGAACAGCATGCCAAGCGGAGACAGGATTTCCGAGTTCCAACGCCTCGCAAGCACACCCAAGCTGCCGCTGAACTTCGACGGCATCAAGCTCTATTTCATCAAGAGGTCGTGCCCGTCGTTGCAAAATGCGTTGACTCATGTCGCCGACACCCTCACTACAAGCGAGGAACTCTTCAACAAGGCCGTGCAGATCATTGTGACCAACTTGGCAGCCCGGAATACGAGCCCTTCATCAAATGCGGCCAGGGCGCGCACCAGCATCAGCCTAAAGTGGCCGTGGTCGCAGCGGCAACGACTAGCGACCCTTCTACTTCAAACGAGGCTGTTTCGTCTGACGAGGGAGACAGACTTGCAGCTGCCCAGAATGGTGGCCGCCCCGCCAAGGGACGAGGACGCGGCAAGCCGAAGACCAACACCAATACTTCTTCTGGGCCCGGGCAAGCAGCTCCAACTCAAGGACCTTAGACAACGTACGGCCTGACGGAGCGCGGGTATCACGTTCGCACCAAGTACCGTTATTGTTTGTGCTGCAATTGCGCGGCCCATGAGACCGCGAACTGCCCCGCGAAAGCCAAGGGCCCCGCTCAGTCGGGAAAGTGAGCACCGCCGAGAGTGTTGCGACGACACTCTCGACGCCTTCGGAACCGGTTGCCGATCGGGTAACCTCCCTCGGTTCCGGGGCATATGCGGACGTCGTAAGTCCTCCAATTCTTCATTCTTTCGAGGACTATGCTGCCCGGCTCGTACCTTCGCTGGATTCACGAGCCCAAGGACAGGATGTATGTGCGGTCTCTTCTCCGATCGGAAGCAGCAGCATTGATTCGTCTTCAAGTGGAACTTCACGGGATTCGACGCGCGCGTTCAACATTGAGGACTTGGACCCGTTGACGCCCGAGGATTTTGCATGGCTTTCTCTCTCTTCCACCGGCTGCTTACCGGAGCCGCAATGCGCAGCTTTTCGCGCTGATTTACATACATACCTAGCCTTCTATGCACCACCAACTTTGCCTACGGAGGACGAGGTCGCGGTGGGGGACATTCTTGCATATGTAAGCAAGGTGGCCCGCGAGTTTCGCACGCAACGGTATGACGACAACAACGCACCACTCCTTTATGTCCGCATCCAAATCGGGCAAGCGTCCTGCAGCGCTTTGCTGGATAGCGGCGTGACTCACAACTTTATTAGCGAGTCCTTCATGCAAAGGGCCTGCCTTGGACCACAAGTTCGAAGGAAGGCACACCCTACGTCGACCAAGTTGGCGGACGGTAGAACGCAACAACTCCTTGATCGCTACATCGAAGCCGTCCCGGTTTATTTCGCACCTCATGCATGCGAACCGGTGACGTCTGACGTCTTGGACACGGACTTCGACATCATTTTGGGCATGCCTTGGCTTGCAAGTGCGGATCACGCGGTCAACTTCCACCGGCGGACACTTACGGTTCGCGATGCATTCGGCGCCGAAGTACCATGTACGATTCCTCCTCCGCACCCTTCGATCCGGTGCCAAGTTGTAACCGCCAAGTCTTTTCAGGCCACTTGTGCTTACGAGCGGACCGAGGAGATCAGCTTATATTTTCTTCGAACCGTCGCGGTAGCCGACTCTCAACCTACGGACTTGTCTTCAGACCCTCGGGTGGTGCGGTTGCTCGACGAATTTGTCGACGTCTTCGAGTCACCTACCGGCGTGGTGCCGGATCGGCCAATCTCTCATGAGATCATTCTCGAGGTCGGTGCCACGCCGCCAAAAGGTTGCATTTACCACATGAGCGAGGAGGAACTTACAGTACTTCACGCGCAGCTCGACGACTTGTTGGACAAAGGCTGGATCCGGCCTAGTAGCTCACCCTATGGTGCGCCAGTTCTCTTCGTTCGGAAGAAGAACAAGGACCTTCGCTTATGCATCGATTACCGCAAGCTCAATGCGCAAACCGTCAAGAACGCGGGACCTCTTCCTCGTATTGACGACCTTTTGGAGCGCTTGGGTGGCGCGCAATTCTTTTTTTAGTTGGATTTGAAGTTAGGATATCATCAGATCTTGATTCGGCCGCAAGATCGCTACAAGACCGCGTTCAAGACACGGTACGAGCACTTCGAGTGGGTTGTTATTCCTTTTGGACTCACCAACGCCCCGATGACTTTTCAAGCGGCGATGACCAACAAGTTCCGAGTCATGTTGGACCGGTTCGTGCTGGTTTACTTGGACGACATCCTCATCTATAGTCGGACCTTGGACGAACATCTTGACCATCTTCGACGAGTGTTGGAGACACTCTGGCGCGCCAAGTTCAAAGCCAACGACGACAAGTGCGAGTTGGTGCGTGAAGAGTTGGAATACTTGGGCCACTTAGTCACTCCACAAGGCATCAGTCCGTTGTCGGACAAGATTCAAGTCGTCCAAGATTGGCCGGAGCCACGGAACGTCACGGATGTTCGATCATTCCTTGGCCTCGACAGCTACTACCAGCGCTTCATCAAAGGCTACTCGAAGATCGCGGCTCACTTAACCAAGCTTCAATGCGAGGACCGACCGTTTGACTTCGGGACGGACGCGCGGGAATCATTCTTGGCCCTGAAGGCCACATTGCTTTCCGCGGAGGTATTGTGGATATACGACCCGCTATTGCCAACGCGCGTCACCACGGACGCATCCGGCTATGGCATTGGTACCGTCCTCGAGCAACATGACAGCATGGATTGGCACCCGGTCGAATATTTCAGCAAGAAAGTGTCGGTCGTGCACTCCACTGACGATGCACGCAAGAAGGAACTTCTCGCCTTCGTCCACGCACTCAAGAGATGGCGGCACTTCCTCCTCGGTCGACTCCAGTTCCGATGGGTAATGGACAACAATCCATTGGTGTTCTACAAATCGCAAGACACAGTCAACAGCACCATTGCACGTTGGATGACCTTCATCAACCAATTCGACTTCTTTCCCGACCACATTCCGGGGAAGTTGAACCGCTTTGCGGATGCCCTTTCGCGGCATCCGGACCACTGCACCGCAATGTACTCGACCTTCAAGATCGAGGACGACTTGCGGAACAACTTCATCCGCGGCTATCAAGCCGACCCCGAGATTCGCGACAATTTCGCAAACTGTTCCTCTCCCAATCCGGCACCTTTGCACTATCGGATACAAGAGGGATACTTGCTTCTTCACTCGCGGGGGAAGGCTCTTCTTTGTGTGCCGCAAGATTCACATTTCTGCACCCGGCTTCTTGGCGAGTTCCACGACGCCCCCGCCACTGGACACTTTGGAGTCAATCGCACGATTGGACGACTACGCGAGCGCTTTTGGTGGCCCGGTGTCCTAAACGACGTCACGCGCTATTGCGAGTCATGTGAAGTTTGCCGACGTTGCAAACCTTGCAATCATCGTCCTTATGGCGAACTGCGACCATTGTCGGTCCCCTTGCGCCGAAGGGAAGCGATTGCCATGCATATCATCGGGTCGTTCCCCAATCACAAGACGAGCATCGATGGGATTCTCACGGTGGTTGACCGCCTCACCAAGTTTGGCAATTTCTTGCCTTGCCGCTATCACGCCAAGGCACCGGAGTTGGCCGAGGTTCTCTACGCCGGTTGGATTCGAACCAAGGGTTACCCCAAGGAGATCGTATGCGACCACGACACTCGGTTCATGTCCGATTTTTTGTTGGCGCTCATCAAACGATGGGGCTCATCCCTCAAGCCAAGTTCGGCTCGCCACCCCCAAACCGATGGCCAAACGGAGAGGGCACATCAGACCGCACAGGTCCTCCTTCGAACTCTCATCCGTCCCGACCAGAAAGATTAGGTTGAGCGGCTGTTGGATGTCGAGTTGGCGTACAACTCGTGCATCCATCCGGCTATCGGGATATCGCCCTTTGAGTTCGAGCATGGATCGCCGGTCAATTCTCCGTTGGACACAATCCTCCCATGGATGGCCGAGAGCGACGACCACCTCCTCTTCATTCGTCGGATGCAAGAGCTTTTTGTTAAGGCACGTTGTCAGGCGGCCACAAGTAGTGCGCCGCCTGAAAACGGCAGTTTAGGGGTTTAGGCTCAGGGTTAAGTCCGCGTTTTGACAGTACTTTGGGATGACCGGGCTGCAGGAATTATGAGAACTCAGGGTACCCCTGATTCTGGACGCACTAGATTTTAAGAGTAACCCCCAAAGACA